AATCGGGATAAAATTCGAGATAGGATAAATTTTATCCTATCTCGTGTTTGGTGCCTACTTAAGATAGGATAAAGTCAGATATAAGAGGGATATAGCCCAAATAAAATTATCCCATGAAGGAGGTATGATAAAGATGGATAGGATTTCTAATATTCATAATATAAAAAATATTTTTCTCGAATAACAAACTTGTTAAATTAATAAAATTAAAATGATATTCCAATATAAATAATATTTGAATTTTAATATAAAAAATTCAAAATAACAAAAAAATAACAATAAATTCGTTTTTATTTATTCTTATTTATATTTATATATTTAAATTTCTTTCTATCTTATGATATAAATTTCATATATATATATATATATATATATATATATATATATATACACACACGTTTAGTAGTTATATTTATTACATATTTTAGGCATATTTGTATAGTTTACTATTTAATAAAATTTTATTGGAGAATGATGGAAGGGGAAGAAATAAAAAAGAAACTAATTAAGAAAGAGAGAGAAAAATAATTAAAAAAATAAATGAAAATGAAATAGGTAAGAGTGTCGTGAGAAATTTTTATCATCTCCGTTTCTGCAATTTTTAGGTTCATTTACACTAATATAACGTTCATAGTAAATAATGGACATATTAATATGTGAAAATATCCGGCTTTATTATTATGATTCACCAAACAGTAGATAGGATATATCGAATCCCTTGGATTTTATATCCAATCCTATCCGATCCTATCCTGACTAGAAATCCGGACGACCAAATGCAGCCTAAAGGTTGTGAAGGGTTCTTTGTTGATTTGGAACGGGAAAGTCAGTGACAAGAAAAGGGAGAAGAACAACAGAAGTGCCAAAACTCGTGTACGGCGCTCACTTTAGTGCCAAAAGTTTTCGCTGGCTCACTTAAGTGCCAAATCGGAGGAAAAACGATCACTTAAGCACCAACGGCGAGAAATTTCGGCAAAATTCGTACGTGGCTTTTATAATTAAAAATTTTAATCTAAGTTGGATTTTTTAAAAAAAAATAAGTATACGTGGCATTTCCATGTGTACATTTAGATTTTTTAAATTTTTTTCTGATTTTTTTTCTTTTTTTCTTCTTCTTCTTCTTCCTTCGGTCACAGGCGGTGACCGGAGGCTGGCCACAGCCAACCACCTGGCCTCCCCGGGACAAGGCCGTCGTCGCCCGCCACAGGCGAGGCTCGGCCGACCCTCACCTGGGCGAGGGCGGGCGAGCCCTGGCAAGGCCATGGCGGCCTTGCCAAACTGGCAAGGCAAGGCCGACCCTCGCCAGATCCAGCAAGGCCGGCCATCGCCGTGGCCATGGCGGCCTCGTAGGGCATCGCCTTCCCCCGGGCGACGACCGGCCTCGCCGGATCTGGCGAGGGTCGGCCTCGCCTCGCCGTGGCTCGCCCTCGCCAAATCCGGCGAGGCTAGCCATCGCCCGGGGAAGGCAACGCCTCGTGAGAGCCAGCTAGTGGCCACGGCGTCGGCCGGCCTCGCCGGATCACAGTAAGGGTCGACCTTGCCTCGCCTAGGCGAGGCGAGCCCCGGCGAGGCCGGCCGTCGCCATGGCCACGTCGGCCTCGCGAGGCGTCGCCTTCCACGGGCGACGGTCGGCCTCGCCCAGAATTTGGTGAAGCGTCGGCCTCGCCTCGCCGGGGCTCGCCCTCGCCAAGGCGAGGGAGGCCGACGCTCACTAGATTCGGCGAGGCCGGCCGTCGCCCGAGGGAAGACGACGCCCCGTGAGGCCGCCATGGCCACAGCGTCTGCCGGCCTCATCGGATCTGGCGAGGCCAACCCTCGCAGGGGTTCGCCCGCCCTCGCCCAAGCGAGGGTTGGTCGGGCCTCACCTGTGGCGGGCAACAGTGGCCTCGTCCGGGCGAGGCCAGGCGGCTGGCCATGGCCGGCCTCCGGTCACCGGCGGTGACTGGAGGTAGAAGAAGAAGAAAGAGAAGAAAAAAAGAAAAGAAAGAAAAAAATCAGAAAAAATATTTAAAAAATCCAATCGTACATGCTAAACTACGTTGTTTTGATGTGTACATGCTGACTAAACCTCAGGTGAACCACATGAGCTTCAGAAATTAATAAAAAAATGCCACGTCGGATTTCCGGCCAAACTGACCGGAGTTGGCACTTAAGTAATCATTTTTCCAAAATTTTGGCACTAAAGTGAGCACCGTACACGAGTTTTGGCACTTCTGCTATTTTTCTCCCGACAAGAAAATCGAAGATACTGAGACCGGAGGCAATCGCGTCCAGTCATGCAAATTGCAATAAAGTAATTGATTGGAGGAGGTAATACAAAGAATACACTTGGAGTATTCATAATCCTCTACCGATGGTTAAATAGGGTGGATACAGATAACGATTACTGAATTCGAAAGAACAAAAAACTCCCTAATCCTATCCATGGTCACAAGAAATTACTCCACAATCTCCTACTATTTAGCAATACTTATATATTGGAAGTTACATATCTGAAACTATTTCTACTTGGTAGTTACATGCTGATGTTAATGACTTCAATGACAAGTGCACTTTCTTGTCGATAATCGATATTTTTATCAATGACTTCGATGTAGAGTTGTAGATTTTTTTGTTAATCAGTGACTTCTATTTTCATCAAATTCTGCTCTTATCGGCTATGCCTGTACTTGTCGATAATATATAAAAGTTTGTCATTTTTTGTTGTCAACAAATGCCCCCTTTTAAAAGAATTGAATAACTCATCAAACATTCTATTCTTTTAAATTAGATGAGTCATCACCCGGCCCCCTTATTATCGGCAAATTTAATTTTTACATGCTAAATTGCTCCTTGAATTATTTTCTTGAAAACGATAAAGTTAATTTTGATTTTGCTGCTCTTTGAACATTCTTCTCATGGTTCACACCACGTTGGGATTTGGTGCAACTTCCCTCTATTTGTGTGATGCAACCGAAGATTGACTTCCTCACGTCAATCATCTTTTGCCGCTCTCCCACTGGCTAAAGTATCGGAATGCGTGGTTGTCTCATTACCGGTTTGTGATAATGGGTTGTTGTTATCAACAGCATTGTCGAACTCTTGTTGATTTCTAGTTCTTGTAATTGCAGTCTCCTTAAATCAACAAAACATATCCCATCAGGAGTGCCAAAAAAATGTTTCATTGAAAACATGATGAAATATCTTTCAAGAACATGGATGGATCGATGAGTGAATCAATAAATGTTGTGGAGGATCCTTTGTTGATTTTTGACAGGAGGTAAACGACAAGAAAATTAAAAGTACTAAGATTGGAGATAATCGCGGCCAATCATGTAAATTGCAATAAAGTATAGATAAAGATACATTTGCGAGAATGTTAAGTTCTTTGATTGATTGGTGGGAGGATTACAAAGAATACACTTAGGATATTTATAACCCTCTACTGATGGCTAACTTTTTAATCCTATCTGCGATTACAAGAAGATACTCCCATATCTAAAACTATCTCTACTTTGTAGTTACATGCTGATGTCGAGATTTTTGTCGATAACCGATGTTTAGTTGTCGATGACTACATTGTAGAGTTGTCGATTCCCTTTGAATTGCGATTGTTTTGTTCATCAATAACTTCTATTTTCATCAAATTCTGTTCCCATCGACTAAGTCCGATACATGTCGATAACAGTTAAAAGCGAATCGTTTTTGGATGCCGATAATCTTAAAAAAAAATAAAAATTGAAGGTTGGTTGGAGAACAGAAGTCATATTTAATAATTTGGACGACTAGGGTCATTGCGAGATGATTTTTGACTTTGGATGCTCCATCTCGATCCGCGGGAACGGACCAGAAGCGCCTACGAGCTTCGTGGATGTTTCATTTTTATTGATTTTTGGAATCAATTGGTCAAATTTACACGGGCCACGGATTCCAGCGTCCTTACACTTTGGATTGGCAAATTGAAGTGTCCTTCGTCTTGCGATTGATTGTCAAATGCCGGATCAATCATCGCCAGCCACCGAAAAGACCCTCTCTCTCTCTCTCTCTCTATCTCTTAAATTCAATGAAAGCTTTGTGGCTAGCTCAGTCTTCTCCCGTGGCCCACGCCCCAATCCGTTCTTGACCTTTACGATGCAATTTCCTTAGGGTCGACGATTCGCTTTCTGTCCCGATCACTTTCGAGAAATCTACCGAGGCAGATGATCATTGCTCGCCTTTGTCAGCCATGTTTTTCACGTGATAGTGAATGTGTCGTGCGTTTCCCTTCCACGTAGTAATGATCGTGCGTTCTTCAGACAAATGGAAAGACGAGCGAGAGGCTGAGAGTTTTATTCAATAACTCGAAATTAGTTAGCACGAAAGAAAACTTCGTCATGTGCTTCTTTTTTTCATATGTACTGTGCACCTATATCGCCCCATCAATTTTTCACGTCGAAAATGATGAAATCTCGGAAGACTTTATTGCATTAACATATTCTTGCTCCTTTATGGGCGCGATTACCCCAAAAGAGGGATGAGCGATTCCTTAGTTGTTCCCGTTTTTTCTCTTCTTCCCGAAGTAATTATTTTAGCGATGAGCATATCTGACCCGTTGTCCTACAACTCAATGAGAAAACTTTCGAATATTCTAGTGAGTTGTATGTTCGACGCTCTAGGAATTCGATCAATACTTCTTTATTTCAAAACACCCATTTACAGGTCAAAGTAAATCACCGTCTCGGGTCATTTTACGGATCAACCTCACCGCGTCGTATGCCCCCCGAAAACAAGAAAAAAGCTAGAGCCGGTGCAACTTTGAATCCCCCCAGAAAACGCACAATCCCCTTAAATATTATTTCGAGTTATCCATGACTTTTAAGATGGAACAAAAAGCCATCCTCGCACTCTCTTTTTCTTGGAAGAGATGCAGATGCGCTCGCCACACGAGCACGCACACTTCCCCTTTTCCTCCCACATGATCCGGGGTCCTCATCCGTGGGAAGAAACATGGCGCCACATGTTCTTGAAACGAACCGCCCATCGAACGTCCAGGGGCACGGGACGACTCGCCAAATTCCACGACACACGGACCAGAAAGATTAATGATTGGTCACACGAGGGGGAGAATTTCTTCCTCAGACGCTCTAAATAAATCGAGAGGCTGTCTCTCCCTCCCTCTGTATGGTCTCATCATCTCAGCGGTCGCAGTGGCCACCACGCTCTGTAATTTTTCTTCGTCCTTTCTCTTTCGCTCTGCTCCCCAAAATCCTCCCCTCCCCCCCCCCTCTTTCGTCTCTTTGAGAAATCTTTGTCGGGCTCTCAACTCTGCTTCAGTTATCCGTTTTCCGCCTCCCACTCTCTTGGGGGGACTCTTTAGCTGGCCACCTTCTCCACGGTTCTTGGCGAGACAGCGACGTGCCCGGTAAGAATGCTGGTGTTCCTCTTCGTCTCGGAGCATCAAGTCTTGGTTTTGATGCGTGGGTTTGTTTTGATTTCGGAGGAGACGAGCTGAATAGCCACATTCGTCTAGTCACGACTTCGTTCGCTACTACTTCATTGGGTGTTCAGTTTCTTGTCGCTGCTGTTTTTTTTTTTTTTTCCTTAAATAATCCGTGAGGAATGAAATTGATCTTTACTTCAAAATCCGGTCCTCATGTGGATTACTGAGCGGATTGTTGAGTGGCTTGGATCGTTGATTGGGCTTTGACGCTCTTTAAGCTCTCTATATATCCTTTTGGGTCTGCGACGATTGAGGAAGAATGAGTTGCGGGACCGTTGATTTGAAGTTTGACTGTGTATGCAGTTGAAACGGTCCGCTGGTTCCGTGTAGAACTGATGAATGAACCTTTTTTCGCTGTTCTTCCAATTCTCTGTAACTGAATGGAAGGCACAGAAATTGTGCTTAGTTCATTTCTTGATTCATTAACTAATCCTGCTTTCATCATAATTCATTTATTGTGATTTGCGGGTATTCTGTTTTTAATTCTACTATATTTTACAATACAGTTACAGCTTGCACTTGCCCTCATTATTTTAGAACATCTCGAAAGAACCTTTGCACTCTGGCCATGGAAAGTAGTGGCGTCAGCTCTTTCCTGAGGAACAGAAAGCTGGAAAGCATTTTGAATGCGAGCTCCATAGAAACTTTTGGAGTTTCGGCGAAACCCTTGGTGAAAGAAGGGGTGGGATATCAGCCGAGGACTGATGGGTATGTTGATGACGATGGTTGGTTTTCCGAGTTGATATCTTGGATAAGAATAGTGACGTGCTTCTTGTCAATGATGGTGACGACCTTCATATGGGCATTGATCATGGTTATTCTGATCCCGTGGCCATATGAAAGAATAAGGCAAGGAAATATTTATGGGCACGTAACTGGCAGACTGCTGGTAAGCTACTATGGTTCCATAAGTTACTTCAACATTACAGGTGATAACACTTTATTTATGCTGCTATTTGGTTGAAGTCTTTTAATTACTATGAAAACGCTGGCCTTGTAGTGAATAGTCAGCTCCAAAAACCATCAGTGATTAGAAAGCATTGTTCCAACTTTTCTCTTGATTGAGGATTAAAAGACCAATCTTGCTTTCGCCTACCATGTGTGGACACTTCATGTGGGCTACAATTTGGAATTTTTCTTCCTTTACCCTCATAGTACTCTGGCGAAGCAGTATTAGGATTATCAACTCATATAGTTAGTTACTGATCTATCAATTCATTGTCTCGTTCGTTAAATTCAGAATTTACAGTTAGTTATATGAATTTTATCAGAAGGGTTTTATATAATTAACATGTGGCGGTACTTGGATTGACACCTGAGGAGAAAATGTGATCCTTAATTCCTTATCATTATTTGTTGAGTTCACAAGTCACAGTATCCAGTCATGCTGAAACTGTTATTCTCCTTGGGGCCATTGACAGTCAATATAGTTATTTTCTTCAGTAATTTAAGATGAAGAAATGGAGAATACTGCATGTGAATTTTATTACTTCGTTGATAGCTAGTTACTATTCTACAGTACTGCCAAGTTATGTGGCTTTTTGAAGTCTCTTATTTTTTGCGATAATGGTTTAGATTATGCATATGAACTGGAGTTTATGTATCTGTTGCAGATGTGGATCTTGGGAAATCCTATAAAGTTTGAAGGGTTGGAATATGCTGACGAGAAGGCCGCCTATATTTGTAATCATGCATCCCCAATTGATATTTTCCTTATAATGTGGTTGACTCCGACAGGCACTGTTGGTATTGCAAAAAAGGAGGTAAAATCCCTGCTTTTGAAAAGTGTAATTTGTTGGTTATTCATGTCAGGGATAAGAAGCATCATGCTGACTGCAATGCAAGGAGCAATGATACACTAGTTTTCCTACAAAGCATATAAAAAAAAAGGTTCAGGATCCCATAACTGTGGTCCTGAATCTTACTCTCCTTCATTGGCTCTTGGGATTTATATGTCTATCAATAGGCGAGGCACTCTTTTCCATTTTGATAGATTAAAATGATTCATACTTGTCTCAACAGCATTCATCAAGTGTCCAACATTGAGATATGATAGTTATGTGGACCTATTTTATTGACGGATTCCAAAGTCTTAACTTCAAATGAAAAATCATCTATGCAGATTATCTGGTACCCTCTTTTTGGACAGCTTTATGTATTAGCCAACCATCTCCGCATAGATCGCTCAAACCCCACTTCAGCCATTGAGTCGATGAGGGAGGTAAGTGTCTCCTCTGCATTGTTTGCCCAGGGTTTTGTATGTGTTTCTAACAAGTCAATGGTGCAATTGCACAGGCAGCTCGTGCCGTGGTTAAAAACAATCTGTCTCTGATCATATTCCCTGAGGGCACCCGGTCAAAGGATGGACGACTGCTTCCTTTCAAGAAGGCAAGTCACTTACTTCATCGTCTAAGATTTAACGCTCTTACTGAACTTTGTGACGAAATTGAGGAATAAGAAGTTGCATTGTAGTTGGACTGCTCGATACAGTCATAGCACATTGCTTTTAGCCCATTTTCTTAGATTACAGATTCATTCCTAAGCTGCAGTCATAAGTTGCATTGTGGTTCATCATTGCTCTTGTTCATGGCATGCATCATGTCTGTTCAGGGTTTTGTACACTTGGCCTTGCAATCACGACACCCGATAGTGCCTATAGTCTTGACTGGGACCCATCTAGCGTGGAGAAAGGGCAGTTTACATGTTCGGCCTGCACCTCTTACTGTAAAGTTCCTTCCCCCAATCAAAACTGATGAGTGGACTGCCGATCATATTGATGAGTATGTGGAAATGGTCCATGACATGTATGTGAAACACCTTCCTGAGTCGCAGAGGCCTCGTGCATCGAATGCTGCTACTAGGAATAATTCAGTTTCCTAGGTGAATTTCTTATATATTCAACTTTGTATCATTTTAGATTAGAGGAAGCATGTACTATTAACTCCTGGAATAAAGCACTGCGAATATGTAGTGTTGCTGTAACCCTTTAAAAAGGTTAAAAAATAGAAAACGCAAATGCAGTTTTGAGGTTCACTCAAAGATGAGTTTACTTGCATCGATCTCCTAATTATTGAATCAAAAGATTACTGGTGCCATCGGAATGATGTGGAAGTGGGACGGGAACCAAAAAACAATGGTGAAGAATATGCAATATGTGTGCTTCGAGTTTTCGAAGAATGTCATATGTGGATGTTGGTTTGGGAGCGTAAGCAAGTCTCTCAGGCGGTTTCTGTCGCAGAAAGATGGAGTTTTTAGACGTTGGGCAAAGGATGGGAATTTTTTTCCTTGGCTTTGACGTTTGGACTGTGTGAAAACAAAATGTTTTGGCGGTTCATTGTCATTGCCCATATGGGTTTAGTTTGTTTCTTTTTCATTTCTTTGTGCACGTATATAGTATATTTCATTATTGGTTAGTTGAAGGCCCCTGTATATTTTATTTTGGGTCTCCAGACGAATGGCACTACAGCTAAAGGAGACATTGTAGTACAGGTCAAATGAATGATCAAGCAAAGGGTCGTTTTCTACCTATTTTAAAAGCAGGATTTGTCCGGTGATGAATTGCCAGAAGGATATGCATTGTATATGAGGAAAAGACAAACGTGCAAATCGTGGGTTTCGGAGATGAAACAAATTTGAGTCTGGCCAAGAACAAAAAGAAGGGGATATAATAATAATTTGCAGCTGAACTGTATCAGTATGTTAAGTGGAAAATGTTCCTTTTTCAGGCCGAGAAAGAGGATCATGTCCTTTGGGACCACAGATGAGAAGTTGCCCTGACGCCTACTGTGGGCCAAGAAATCTTTCGATCTGGCCCAGGTCAACGTCAGTGCATTGATGGCCCTTCGTCGCTCCTGTGTTGTGTCCGTCTGTTCATCTGATCTGCAGTTGTCCTGTTCTTTTATTATCCTTCGCTTGATCAAGTAAATTTCCAGAGGCTTGTATGGTGGCTGGTGAGACACGGCAAAAAATCTGCCACCATATAGCAAACGTAAGTAATCTCCAGCGATGTGGGGATGCTGGGACTGGGTCTATTGGATCAATTCGTTGTGTCGTTTGGCACTCTCTACGTCATTTCCAAGGTCTATGCATCCGATAGAAATTCGTCGCATTGCTAAATCATAAAAAGACTTAATAGATGAGCTCTAGTATACTTGGCATTAGGGAAAATAGTTCAAGAAGTTCTAAACATATTGCACTTTTGTTAATTATCTCCTAAACCTTTCAATTTTGCCAATTGAGTGCTAAACATTTTTACATTTTGCCAATTGAATCTGTCGGGCCAATTTTGGTTAGAATTCACTAACGTAGACATCAGCCGTCCTACGTGACACAACTAGCGCTGACGTGAACAATCTATAATAATATTTTAATATTTTAGCGCTGGTTGTGCCACGTAAGATGGGCGACATCGACATCAGCGTATTCTGACCAAAATTGGCCAAATAGACTCAATTGGCAAAACGTGAAAATACTTAAGACTCATTTGGCAAAATTGAAAAGTTTATAACTCAATTGGCAAAAGTGCAATATGTTCAGGACTTTTTGGACAAATTTTCCTTTGGCATTATTTAAATAGTTAACGAGTTCGAGATGTTCGGGGCCTTTACGACTCACCAAACAAGACGAGATTTCCATCTCGAATAATTTCTATTAGGAATTAGCCATTAGTTTAAGAACTGATCACGATGAAATTCTTAACTCTAATCGGTTTAGCAATTTGCTTCTCCAAGTATCCGGAATTACATGGCGACAAAGTATGAAAGGAATATAAAATGGCTTGGTTGAGCTTATGAGAAAATTAAATGGCAACGGAGTCTTATTGTGATCTTTAGTTTAGATTCTGTTGATGGCACTCTAAGAGTAAAATCCCGAATGAATCATATCGATACAAATAAGGGCGCTCTCATGATCGCCCGAGAAAGGTAAATTTCCAAAGGTGCATGAAAATTAACGCGAACACCACTCGACCACTAAATACAAAATCATTTAATAACGTATTTGTTTATTAGAGAACGAGGAGGATTCTCATCTATCATAGGACAGTTGAAAAAGTCAAAAAAGTGAGAAAATTTGGTAAAATTTGAATGTTTTTATTTAAAAATTTGGTAATTTGCATACTTATTACTCAGATTAATGTAATTAAAGATAAATTATGGATGGAATTTTGGAAAGGAGGAAGGCATTAAAATCCCTTGGGAACAGAATCATCTCTTGTCTAATATAGTAATCACCTTACTTTCAATTTTTCTGGGTTTTTAAAGAATATTCAGGTAAATAATGTAATGTCGCACGTTTTTTTTTCATTCCTTTATAGATCAATATAAAATCATACCGAAAAGAAATAAACGATATTGATTTTCCCACGTTGCACAACATTCCAAATCTGGTATTTTCGACAATTTCTAAAAAAGAAAATGCTAATAATGTTCCTTAAAAAAAGAAAAAAAGAAAAACCCTGCCTTTTGTTTTCTTAATTTTTTTTTGGGTATAATATTTCATTAAAATAAGAGAAGCAGCAAATTTGCTTTAAAAATCCTTCTTAAAACAGCTCCAAAACAAGAGCCCAAACACGGGGAGATAGTCTTCCTCTTCCTTCCGCTAGGGTTTCGATTCGAATCGGTTCCTTCCTCTTCTTCTCCTCCTCCTCCTCTTTCGCTTGACGGCAGAGCGCCACGTCCGGCGATCCAGATCGCAGCCGGCTATCCTCGATGCGGCGCGCGCGTCCGAGATCGCAATTCGCGGGCCGGTGATGTGCGCTTCTTCGGCCAAAAACTCCGACCGGACGAGATATCAGCGGGAGCTGTCGAGGTAACAGTAAAGGTGGGTCGCCGGTCATTTTGATGGCTGCCGCTGCGTAAATTTTGGCCGGCATATGTATTGAATCGTGGGACGAGGTCGCACTGTTCACGTGTGCATGTGCGGGAGGACGGCGCACGTGATTGTTGGTCCGTCGATTGAACTTGCGGATGCTTTATGCTGTGCGGGTTGTATCTGTGGTTCATTTTGCTCCCTGTTTTAGATTTTGCTGCATTTTTACTTTGGGCAATTTGACTGTTTTAGGTCTTAGATTTGGGCATTGGTTGATTTTGGGAATAAAAGAGAGAAATTTGGGATTCCTCGGGCTCGGTCGATGTTGCCGTCTCTTCGACTGCCGGTTTTTTGGATGTTGTGACTCTAAACTCTTTTGTACAGACCTCTGTGTCGATAGTGCTCATCGCATTCCTTTTGTGTCCAGCAATTTTTGTTATAGACATAATTCTTTGGGAGCACAGACCCTGGTGTTGCCTATTGATCTGTTGTGTTGATATAAAGAGAGTTTTGGAAGTCATGCTAGCCTTCAATTTGATAATTTAAAGCATTAACTTCACTTGCACACCCATTTTTGTATTTGCGGTCTTGTAAGATCTCCTGTTGTTGCAACTTGGGGTAGCTCACTTGTTGGAAATACGTTATCAGTATGAGTTTGTGCTATTTCTTCTTGACGAAATTCAGCTGCTTGCTTATGTTGGGTTGGTAGAAGGTAGTAGCAAGTGGTTCCAATGTCTTGTGAATTTGAGTTTCCTTATCTTAGGGAAGGTGGAATATAGGTATTTGTTTTATGTCTGTCGCTTAAGTTCAGTTGTAATCACGAAGAAGGCTGCTGTGTGCTAAAGTAAATTGACTTTGCATTGTCAGATAAAACTTCAAAGTCAACTTTTTCCCATCCGAAGAGAAATTGACGTTGCTTGATAGTTTTTTCTGTCATCAGGCTAGAACTTTCCCTTATTTTTGTTTGAATATGCTAGCAGCTGGTGAGGAGCTAATAGTGAACTGCTTGTTTGTCATGACCAGTTAGGAGAGTTTTACTTGATAAACTGTAACTGAGATGTCTTAGAGAGAGTTCTTCACTCTCTTTCTTCTAGTTATCGTGTGACTTAGATGTAAGATACATGCTAAAGTTTAAGTTTGCGTTGGAGTTTGCAGTTTCCCCATAAAAAGACTGGGCTTGAATATATATCGGCGGCTTTTTGGCAATCTTTGTTGAGTTACTAAGATGTCAACATTTTCTAGAATAATGTGCCACAATAATTGATTGTTAATGACATCCGGTGTTTATTTCCCCATAAATTGATTAGAGGTTGAAAGTCGAGGCAGCACACTCATTAGTTTCTATGAACTGTTTGTTTGGGGAGAATTACTTGTCTTATCGTTGGTGTGGCTTTGTCATAATATCTCAAAACAGCATCTCTTCTGTTGGCAGAAGTAAAAAGGATCTTTTTGTTGGTGTAAGAATATATGCTGGAAATTGACAAGATGAACCAAGCCAGTCAAGGAATCAACTCCGATGCTTCAGCCAGTGCCCCTTTGAAACGCAAACGTGGTCGTCCACGAAAGTATCCCATGCCAGATGAAAGCCCAATCTTTGCAGAGCATGCCCGTGCTCTGAGGGATCAAAACATTAATCGTGGACCAAATATACATGTCCCTCCTGCATATAAATTTGTGAACGGAAATCAACCCCGGCAAGTACATGCAACCAACAGTTCAAACAACATCTCAATAGGACAGTTGGTTTCTGGTGTCATCGAAGCTGCATTTGATGGTGGTTATCTGCTTGCAGTTAGGGTTGGCGACTCTGATACTACTTTAAGGGGTGTTGTGTTCAAGCCGGGGCGATACGTGCCTGTTTCTGCAGAGAACGATGTGGTACCAAACATCCAAATGATAAAAAGAAATGAGATTCCTCTTCAGAGTGAGAGTTATATACAGATGCAGGTCTCTGGCCCTCGTTCGAGAGAGAGGAATGGAACCACTAGTCTAGTGGCATCGCCTCCTGGCTCAGCTGTCTTGAAAGGTAGACAGGTAGCTCCAGGTACAGCTCAGCCCATTCGTCCGGTGACATTGAGAGGCAATGTGGTGCCTGTGGTACTTCATCCCCTTGGTACTTCTGCAAATGGTTTGCCTGTTCCCAACCAAGCTTCTTTGGCTTCAATTCAAGATCATATGTCTTCGATAGGTAAGCACATGGTGCCGGTTTCTGTCCAAACCTTTTC